ATCGTCTGGGCAGGGCGCCGCTCTCCGCAGCAGCAGCCGCTCGCCCGGCCCGCCCGCCAGCTCGAAGTGCTCGCGGGAGACGGTGCTGCGGGCCGCGCCGTCGGGCAGCAGCCGCTCCCACACCTCTGCCGCCCGCTGGCCAGTGTTGGGTCGGGCCCGTCCCCCTGCAGGCCGACTTTGGACGAAAAACTAGGAATACTCAAAAAGAATCACCAACAATGGCCAACGAAGGATAGAACAATCGTCCCCCGACCATTGTGTAACTGTCCCTCCCGTAGAGGGACACGCCCGACTCAAGGCCGATGTTTTGTGGCTCCTGCGGCGTCCGCGCCTCCTCGGCGCCGTGAGAAGAACAGAGCACGGCGGCCGTGCGTGAGTTCTCGTGCCGTGCTCGGACTCTGGCGGCCCCCTCGCCGGGCCAAGGACCCTCAGAAAACGACCTGGGAGGAGCAGCTGGTCCCGGGGAGTGGGTCGCGACCTCCAGGGGTCCGCGTTGTATAGAGGCCTCCTCGATGGGGTCGGAGTAGATGGGGTCGGAGGATCGCGCCGCAGCGCCTATATATCGGCGATACATCGTCGATGCATCGGCGATGTATCGGCGATGCACCCCTGACATGCGAGATCCTGATTTATTTAGGACGGCGTACCCGGAAGTCCCGACCCTCTCCCCGGGGCCGGTTTTTCGTCCTGAATCGTTTTTTGACGGTCCCGAGGCCCGGCGAGGGCCCCCCGAGGCCGAAAATAGCCTAAAAGCCTTTGTCCGGATTTTTTTACGACGCGATCATGTCTGGGTCGCGACCTCCAGGGGTCCGCGTGGTGAGAGCTCACGACGTCGGGGTCTGGTATTGCCCCGTCCAGAGGGGCAGCGCTTCCCGGGGTGCGCGCGGTGGTCTTGGGACGGCGCAGCACTCCCCCCCCCCCCCCGCACCCCTCCCGCGGCGCGCGAGGCGCGCGAGGCGCGGCACCGCCAAAGGAGGAGGAGGAGGAGGAGGAGGAGGAGGAGGAGGAGGAGGAGGAGCAGGAGGAGGAGGGTGAGGAGAAAAAGGATCGAGGATCGATGCTCCTTCTCCTTTTCCCCCTCCTTCTCCTCCAACGTTCTCCTCGAGTGCTCTCGTGCGTCCCAAACACCCACGACGTGATTTTCTCGATGGGTGGCCCCAGAGGTCCCGATCCCTTCTCAGGGGCAATTTTGTGCCCCAGTTCTATTCTTGATGGCCCCAGGTCCCGAAAGTGTGAACCAGAAAATAACATCGAAGAAAACGCTCGGAACGAAACAGTCATGTCGTCGGACATCATAACTTCTTCTTCAGCGTGGTCCCCCCAAAGTCTGGACACTTTCCCCCGGACAAGTTTTCCGTACCACCGACATGCTTTTCAGCCGACAAGGGCCCCGTGAGGGCCCGAAACTCTCCGCGGCATTTTTTCACGGCGCGACGGGGTCTGAGTAATCATGCCTTCCTCTTCCTCAGGTGGGGCCATTCATGGGCGGGATGGGGTATCAGGCCCGTCGCGGCGATGAAAGGGGCGATTGGCGATGCGCCCCCCTCTGAGCCTATCTCCCCCAAATGATCTTCGTGACTCAGCTTTCGGGCCACGACTTTGGTCGCAGGCGGCCGTTCGGGACGATCCAGGCAGCCCTGGAACGCTCTCGGCTTGGCGCAACCGCTGGAAGGGGTCCCGATGCTGGAAAACCGAGGAGAACCGAAGAACATGCAAGAACACTAGAATTCTCGAACTTTGACAGCCTTGAACCCATACAAACGGCGTCTCCATTCGACCACTTCCCCAGAACCGGTTTTTCATCCCGAGTCGCTCTTTCAAGGTCCCTGGGCTCAGTAAGGGCCACGAGAGGCCGAAAAAGAAGCAAAACCTCCGCGCCGATTTTTCCATCGAAACATCAGACGTCTGGGAACGCCGCTCCTGTTGAGCAAGTACCTAGCGTCCCGGCATTCCTATAGGCCTACCACGACATGTTCTTAGAACCCGAAAGTGTCTAAGGGCAAACACAATGTTCTTAGAACATCAACCCGAGGTGTTAAAACAAGACAGTCCCAGCCAGAAATGTCCTAAGAACATGTCGTGGGAACCACAATCGGTTCTTAGACCATTGTTTGGTAGGCCTACAGGCATGCCAGGACGCTTCGCCACTGCCCGCCCCCCCTGTGGCCCAAGATGCCCTCCCCAGGACCCCCCGAAATTAACACTGATGGCGTGGCGACGGGGGGGGGCGTGAGTGGACAGACATGCATCCGAATCCCAAGAAGCACCGCCTCTGCCGAGTCGAACATGTTGGCGCCGGGGGCGCGGGGGTGATCTAGCATCTCCCTCGAATGTGTGAGGGCTCGAACCTATTGCCCAGCATCTGGACGTCTGGGAACGCCGCTCCCGACTTTTTTCCCTCCGCGGGCCCGGCCCCCCCCGCCTCCTGGGGCTGCACGGCCCGCCCGACGCGCAGCACGGCGCGCCCGTCCGCGCGCGGCGCGGGCGGCCGGAGCTCCAG